CAAAGCTTTTCACTGTGCTTAGGTACATATAACTACAATAAATCAAAACACTCATTTAAAATTAAAATATGAAGGAATTTGTTCTCTCAGAGGACAGTGAATGTCTGGACCTCTCTGCTCCAGAGTGTTGTGGAGGCTAGAAGTATTTAAAGTGGAGGTAGACAGATTTTTAGAAATGTCAGGGAGTTGACAGCTATGCTGAGCTAGCACAAAGGAGGAGTCGATTACAGCAGGCTCGAGGGGCTGAATGGATAATGCACTCAAGTAGGAGTAGACCAATGAGTTACAACATGCTTTCACAATATACTCTCCTACTTTTGTATCACCTGCAAATTTAACCATCAAACTTTCGATCCTCTAATGTAACTTAATATAACCTGAAAATCTTGAGGGCCTACCACAGACCCCTGTGGAACCCCACTTATATCTTTTCAATCAGGAAAAAGGCCCATTTATGCACACTCTTACTTCCTATCAGCCAATCATCCATGATCATATGTTATGGGCAATGAGCTAATTTGCATAATAAATTTTAATGTGAAACCTTGTCAAATACTTCACTGTCCAGTACAACAATGTACTCCCATTGGTCACAGTGCATGTTACTCCCACAAAGAATTCGAGTAAAATGGTGAAACATGATTTTCCTTTAAGGGAGGCAATGGCCTACTGGTATTATTGCTAGACTACTGATCCAGAGAACCAAGTAATGTATTGGGAACCTGGTTTGAATCTCACCAAGGCAGATGGTGGAATGTAATTCAATAAGAAAAAAACATCTGAAATTAAGAGGCTAATGATGACCATGAAGCCATTGTTGATTGTTGTAAAGTAAAAACCCATCTGGTTCACTAACCTCCTTTAGGGAAGGAAACTACCATCCTTACCTGGTCCGGCTAACATCTGACTCCAGACTCAAAGCAATGTGGTTGACTTCAATTACCAATCCCCACAGGTAATTCAGGAGGGGCAACAAATATTGGCCCAGCCAGCAATGCCCCTAATCTTGTGAATGAATTAAAAAAAATGCCGATTCTTCCCGATGAAAACCAAACCCAAGGCTAAGTGCTCAAGAACAACTTCCTTAATGATCACATCTACTTTCTTCACAGCTGATGTAAAGCTAACTGACCCATAGTTTCCTGTTTTCTGCCTCCCTCGAATAGAGGCTACTTTCCAGTATAAATGAAGCAATCCTGTCATCTCTACCTAGCTTTCTTTTCTTTTTGAATGTAATATATCCCTCAATATTCAGAACTTCGCCCTTATTCTGCAGCCACATCTCCAACCTGGCTACCAGATTGTATGTATTCATTTCAATTACGCAGTATCAATTTACACATGTTGATACAGGACCACTAGTCTTGTTAGCTTTGTAACAAATTGTCTTGACTGCTAGCATATTCTTGTATTCTTTATCACTTCCTGTCCTCCTGACCTTTACTTTCCATATTAGTATTTCACTGCTGTTTCGACTTGCCCTTATTGGCTACATTTAAATAAGCTTGATCCCTCAACCCTCTCCCCCCACCCCCACCCCCACCAATTAAAGCTCTCTACCACCCAAGTTAATGAATCGTGAAATCAAATCCATCATTGTTCAGGTGTAGACTGTATCAACAGTACTGATTCCACTTACCCCAGTACTGGTGCCAGTTCCTTACAAAACAAACCACTTCTCCCACGAACTTTTCAGTCACGCATTCACTTCTCTTATTCACCTTATAGAATTTGCACTTTGCTCAGATAATGATCCAGAGATCACCATTAAGGTTCTGAAAACAACAAATGCTGGACATCACAGCAGGTCAGGCAGCATTCATGGAGAGAGAGCAAGCTAATGTTTCAAGACTAGATGACTCTTTAGCTCTGAAGAAGTTAGTATGCTCTCTCTCAATGGATGCTGCCTGACCTGCTGTGATCACCAGCATTTGTTGTTTTCAGTAAAGATTCCAGCATCTACAGTAATTTGCTCCTACACCATTAACGTTCTGCTTTGAACTTAGCACCCAGATTTCCACATACCATCAACACAGCCTCATTTTACCTGTCATTGATATGAAGCAGCACCACTGGACCGTCCCTTCACCCCCCAAAATTCTTCTCCAGCCCAGTTATCCAAAAACTGGTCACTGGGCACTTATGCTCTTTGCTTCAATTTCAATTCCCCCCACTAGGCTATCCCTACAACTACTATATTCCTTCTTACTCCACACTCTTGAAGGGCTTTCTGCACCATGGTGCCATGGCGACAATCAGGTCCTCAACCCTGCAGCCCTCATTTTGAGTTAAACAGGATAAGAGCAGCTTGAACTTGAACAATTGCAAAGGCTGAAGCTCTTATGCTCTTGCTCTCTGGTTTGCTTTAGCCTTCTCTCCTCCAGTCACAGCCAGCTTTCCCCAACCGCTGAGCCAATCAGAAGACCAAGAGGTATGACCATCTCCTGGAATAATGTGCCCAGGTAACTTTCTCCCTCTTTGATATGCCACAGTGTCTGCAGCTCTGCCTCCAGCCCAACTAACTGAGCTGAAGATTCTGCAGCCTTAAATACTTAATGGAGATGCATTTGCCTTGGATCACACCGGCATCTAGAAGTGTCTGAATTCTGAAAATTACAGCATAATCACTTTTATTGTCATCTCCGATTATGCAAATTTATTAGTAATTGTTAATTTAAAATTAATACAGGTACGCCGCCAAAATGTGTTAGCACTGTCAGTAAATTTTACAATACCAATGAAACAATGTACATAAAGTACTGATACAAACTTAGTTTCTAATAATACCAGCTAGATTTACCTGCTCCTTCTGCTGCACAAAATTGAAAATCAAATGCTAGAGGCTGGAAAAATAGGGGGAAAACCCATCTCCATCTTCCCTCATTAAATCGAACTCACTTATCACACTTCAATTTTCTGGAATAAGCTTTTGGCACTTTTTCCCTGAAAGCCCAAAATTCCAATGTGAACCAAAATCCCAGAAACTCTATTTTTTCCTCACTTAGGCAAAGTCTTCCTCACACTGACAATGTTCCCTTACTCAATACGGAGGAACTGCCTAAGAAGGGTACAGCTTTTAGTAATTTGAAGACTTTAATGATAGTGTTGGGTTTCCACTTAGATCAGACATTCCACCGAATTACATAAAACAATTCACACTTTGCGTATAATGCATTGTTGACACCCGATGCACAAGGATCATTAGCTTGTAGATAGAGAATCTTGACTCCACATTTAAATAATTCACAAAAAAGCAGAAGTAAACTCAACTGTTTTATTGAAAGTTGCTCAAGAGTCAGTCCATTTGTTTGTTCCTTTAAAAACAATGCCACCATTGACAGAAATTGGAGTTAGTCTGCACTTAACTCAAATTTAGAAAAACATTACACTATCTGTTGCTATTTGCTCTTAACCATTTGTTCAGCTTTGAAGACAAACCTTTAAACTGTTGTCAGAACTACAGCAACTTTGAATCCATGCTCAATGATGATCAAAGTCTGTTTGAAACAGACTTAAACATCTTAAGTCAGAGAGACATCAGCATTCTCCTAGCAATCTACTTTAACTTCCTCTGAATATTATGCCTGCATGAGTAACTCTTTTCTGCCTATTGTTGATATGTTATTAGACACTACAAACTGCCATTCTAATTTTTGTTAATGTTACTGTATTTATGAAAAAAGGATTGAAATCATTAAGTCCTGCTCACACAGCGAAGTATTAATGTGCTCAGAACACAATGCATGCGCAGTGTGCACATTAAACTGCATTTCCTATTCAAGGCATAGAATTAGTGAATATTTAAAATCAGGCAGGTGCAATTTTGCCCATTGTATCGTTGGCAACGTTCTGCAAAAGCAAATCAGCTAATCTTATTTCCCTCTCACTTCCCCATGGCCATGCAAATACTCTCTTCAGATGCTTATCCAACTCCATCTGAAAGTCATACATGTGCTCCACCAAATGCTCAGACAGTGCATTCCAGAACCTAAATACACAGTGTAAAAAAAAAACCTCATCGCTGTTAATTCTTCAGTCCATGTTAAATCAGTGTCCTGTATTTCTCCAAAATAGGGATAATTTATCCACTCCACCTAAACCAGTCATTATTTTGAATACTTTCCAAACTTCTAACATGTTATTCAGATAGCAGCTGCAGATTGATAACGTAGTTCAATAGGAAAATATAAAAAGACCAATTGTTCCTAGCTCATTAGGTCAATGACAATAGGAGAGTATAAAGCTTATTTCACTTAAATAAATCACACGTACAGAAATGGGGTCTGAATAAACAAAATGAGAATTCATTAACCTGAGAAATACTGCCATAGAGGATATGCTCAATTTAATGTACTTCTGTTCATTAAATGAACAGTGGTCATCTCTCCAGATGTGGAGTACATCTCTAATACTTTAGAGAAAACTTCAGTTGACAAAATCTGTTCCTACTTTTTGGAGAAGGTAAACAAACTAATTAAGAAACTGTGAATCAATCAGTCAACTACTGACTGTTGATATCTAAAGTGAATTTTAACACTCCCAGATTGCATTTAAAAAATCTCTCGTTATTGGATCTTAATTATGCTCAGGTGTTTTGCCACCACAATGGGACGTTATCAAAAAGATCTGCAAGTTGACTGGATTTACTTGAAATATACTATAATAGCCTAAGAGTTTGACTGGTGTCCAGTTTCAAAATTTAGAATACAGATTAATCAGAAATTTACCTTACTGTTCTTGACTCTTAAAGGGGGCAAAGCCAATACTAAATTTCTTTTCCAGCTTCGCATCAACTAAGATGTTATTAATTCAAGATACCTGGGGAAGAACTTCCAACAATTGAGAACATTGTTTGATAAAGTTACACGTTGCGCCTATGCCGTACAATTCCAAATGAATTGTATTTTACAGTACATATCTCAGAACTAACAGTTGCATAACACTATTCTGGTACACCAGCTTTTCCGGTTAACATGGAATAGGAAAACAACAAGCTCCAATAATTTTAAGGACATTTAATAAATGTTACAATACTGAGAAAATACATTACATGGTCCACAGGGTAAGTAATTCAAATTTAACCTCAACTGTAATGTAGTCCTGTGTTCAATAAAATTGCTGGAAAATAAACTAGATAGGTATCTTCCAATTTGATTTTTTCCACCTTATGTCAAATCAGATGACATCTGAGTGGAGCTCTAACAACATGTAGGCTGCAGAATTTACTTATTAAATTGTAAGAATTAGAATTAACCACAGCTGAGTATCTAAAATCAAAAACTTTTTTGTTGAGTGGATTCTCCACTTTTATGCAAGACTGTTATATAATTGTGCGAACATCAAACTATTCCATGATACATCACAAAAACAAGGTAAATCTCACTTTCAAATGTTTACATTACAAAACAAGTTCAATACAGTAGGTGCACAAATTCTAATTCTGCTTTCCATGTGAATGCCAATCTTTCGAAATACACTTTGAAAGGTATTACCATTAAAGAAAAAATGGACTTTCCATTCCCTGACATCAGTACATTTCTTAATTTCCTTTGAGTAGTCCGATTACATCGAGAATAAAAACTACATTGCAAATTTGTAAGAACAGATGTCGATAAATCTATTGAATAAACAGTGCAAACAAAAGCTGCATCGGAAAAGCCTTTTAGTGAAGCAACAGTATTTGCACTGGAATACAAACTGCAAAGCAAAGCTAATAAGGCTTTTGATTGTCACACATTACTTATAGATTACGTGTACTGCACGTGGAAAGCTTCTACAGTCAGCTGGGTAAAAATAGCATCCCTCATTTAAATTCCATATGGTTCACAGATCAAGGTATCAAGCACAAAGTTATTAGCGAAGTGCTTGATTCTGTGACAGTTTTCTGTTGAGCGTTTCTGGATACCTATTGAAATAAAAAAATAGCTTTAATTACCGTGCAATTTAAAAACAGCACAACACAAGTTCATTGGTTTATGACAGCTCAAACTGCTGAACTTATAGTTTTGACCTTGGTTTATCATTGTGAAAAATCTGGTCAATTTAACAGTAGAACTGTACCTTTCAGCATATTTCTGTGCTGCAATCTGTAGGTCTTTTTCCCTGAACAGAGACGGTAGATGAAATAACCCAGCTGATCAACATTGTCAATACGTTCAGTCACCATCAGATCTTCATGAACAAGGTAGGTCTGAGGCAAGTAGTCACCTGTCTGTTGGGAAAATAAGACATTTCCAAAATGACATTTCATTTTTAAAAAATCAGCAACTGTACAATGGAATTTGAAAGGATTTTCCTTTTTTGGGTGAAAAAGTAATTTATTAATAACTTCCTGTTTAAAACATAGGATTGTTCAGAAGTTCAGTTTAACCTTGAGCACCGAAAACTCAATTAGTCTAACTCTATTGGAACGTCAATCAATCATGAATTTTCATGAAATTAAAAAAAGCAACTACATGCAAGAAAACTAACTATTGCTATAAAAAATTCAAATTCAGAGCTCCCATACAATATTTCCAGTATTGCAACAAATGGTCAATTAAGAGAGGGAATGTACCCCTTTAATCATTGAGATCAGTCACCTCATCTTATGCAGGATCAAATCCTGGCAAATATAACTTGGTATAGCAGCTTGCCACAACATTGTAGAATACTTTCAAGCCTTTAAGAAAATTTGGTCATTGAATCAGGTACTTTGGCATTGCTGCATTTTTTCATCTGTGTGGACAGTTGGGAGATACCATGAGAAACAAGTTTTTTATTTTTGTATGTTGCTCTTGCGGTTATAGGGAAGTTATTCTGGTAAGGCAATTACTAGTGCTACAATCAAATGAAGTTTGTTTCATCCTTGTGTAGAAGTTTGATGACTGCCAACTGCATGTTTTTTTTTTAAACAGTAAACCTTTAATCCCTGACACACTATATCTCTACTGCAGCTAATCTCTTGAATCACATCCTCACCACTACTACAATTGCCCTCATTTCTCAAACCATTATCTTTTCATCCTGGACCATTCATCAAAATGCAACCCTCCTCTGCACTCCCTTACTCCAAAAGGATGGAGATTTGAAAGGATATGACTGACAACTGATCTAACTAATCAACACCACATTTGGTTGAATCACAGAGTACGAGCAGATCTTGCTAACTACTCAAGGAGCATCATAGATTGCAAAGAGAACCTTAGCGCTTTAAATTATTGCAAATTCGTCATCGTAACAACCGTTTTCTTGTCTTCAATTAATGCAAGAAGTTCATGCTTTAATTTTTCATTGAGGCCAAATGTTCAGCTGTCATTCCTGCTTCAGTCTCTTTCCCTTGTTCACTGCACCAAAATTCCTTTACCTATAAGCTCAGATCTTTTCAGGTTTCTCTCCTATTTCTCACATGTTCTGAGCCAACAATGGTCATAAGACCTTCCTTCTGGGCCCACGGCCCTAATCCGAATAACTCAACAACCTGGCACTCATGTTGTTGGGATTCTTGGAAATTTTTCTGTCCTCTGTTTCTGTCCTGCTCTCCTTCAAAGCTGCCTTAATTATGCCTCTCAATAAAAATTTTTCCACTGTTGTATTCTTGCAGTTGACCTCTTGTGATCTTTGTCATCACTACCGATATGTGGCACTTGATTATGGTTATTTGACGGAGTTCACTGATACCAATTCTCCTTTGTCTTGGGCCTAGTTATTAGTGGTAGAAGATTCATGACCCAGTACAGAAGAGGCACCGTTCTGAGACAACGAGGTTTTTTACATGATGGCAATATGTAAAACCACATTTAGTTAGAACACCCACCACTGTCGTCCAACTGATGGGGTGGGACATACTTGGCTTTGTTCTTAGGTATCTAACTGCATCCATAGATGCAATAGCTTCCAAACTCATTCCCCATACTGTTGCCCAAAAATATGCCCTTGCATTATTTCTATTTCCTGTGACATACAAATCAAGTTACTTCACTCACATACTGATGAAATCCAGCTCTATCTCTTGATTCCTCTATTGTCTACAAATTATCAAATGCTTAACTGAAAGATGCTTAACATTGGATAGTCTAATTAAATAATGTCAAGAGCAAAGTTAATGTCCCTGCCTCAAGCTCCGAGTTATTTGGCAAAAAGCTGGATCAGACTGTTTGTAACCTTTAGTTCTATACTTACTGTTTACAAGTAAACTTTTACACAGTTAATGTTTTTGAAGTTTACTTCCAATTAAAATACATTTCATCAGGTACACCTAACATGACACTTTTCCTTCTCTGGGAAGGCTGAAGGTCATGATTGAAGATGCAAGATTTGGGCATTTATTTATTTAATGCCTGCTCTGGAAATTGGCATCCCCTCTCTTACCTGACCTTCCAAGTAATGGTATGGATAGAGTTATCTCCACAGATATCACTGTCAACATTCAATACACTTGGACAGGGCAGAAAGTGAGCATGATGAGTATGAGAGTGAGGTACTCAAAATTACCACAACCCATGAAACCCTGTAATGGAGTAAAATGTACTGACTTCAGCTTTGATTTCTAAAATATGTCATTAAAAAGTAAATTTAGAAAATTTAAGGATCTCCTGAGAGTCCATAATAATTAGCTACATGTATACTTAAATTACATTGAAATGCTTGGCATGCAGAGATACAAACTTATGAGGAAATTTGCATCTATGTTACATAAAACAGAACCCCAATTTATGATGAATAGCTCAGAGAAAACAACTTGGGCCATAATGCTACAATTCCTGAACATGACTTGTACCAACTCTACTGAGCTGTGACAAAATGTCTTTTTTGGGTATTATTCTTATACAATCATGGAATCATAGAGTTGCTACAGGACAGAAACAGACCCTTTGGTCGAACTACTCCATGCCAATCAGATATCCTAAATCAATCTTGTCCCATTAGCCAGCATTTGGCTCATATCCCTTTAAAGCCTTCCTATTCATGTATGCAACATATCCCTTTTAAATATTGTAATTGTACCAGCCTCCACCACCTCCTTCGATAGCTCATTCAACACATGCACCACCTTCAGCCTGAAAAATTTGCCCCTTAGGTTCCTTTTGTGTCTTTCCCCTCTCACTGTAAACCTATACCCTCTATTTTGGACTCCCTACCCTGGGAAAAAACCTTGGCCATTCACTCTATTCATCCACCTCATTTTATAAACCTCCATTAGGTTACCCCTCAAATTCCAACACTCCAGGGAAAACAGCCCCAGTCTATTCAGCCTCTCCATATAGCTCAAACTCTTCAACCCCAGCAATATTCTTGTAAATATTTTGTTAGTTTTGCTTCTTTTGTGGAAACATTTAAAAAAGTTTAAAATTTATTTTTCCTAATCAGCAAAGGGCAGTGAAAGATACTTCTAAAATTATCAACATATAATTTACTGTCATGACCTTCTCTTTGGAAATCTCTTTTGAAATATCTTATTGTATGCAAGGTGACATGATCCAAGTTGCATTTGCCAGCCTAACCCTATTACGATATACATTCAGATAAACTTTGCTTTCGTCATTGTACTAATCAGGATCTATGCTGATTCAATATTTTCGGTCGAGTTCTTGTTTTTCTCCCAAATTAAGACTTCTTTGACTTCAACTTCAGTGGCAGGCTATCCAAAGGCAAGCCAATTATATTTAGTAGTTGCCCTTACTACATCTCATGAACAGTAACAACTGAAAATCGGGATGGAAAAATGAATGCGAACAGGAGAGAAACAAAAAAGGAGAATCATGCATCAAATGGGCTGAGATTAGCAAATAGCATATAATTTAAAACATATAATTTACTTCAGACAATACTGAAACAGCATTTACTGATACCTACTGCAAGTCTCATGAACAATTCGAGCAGGTTGCGTGGAGGCATGATGACAGAAGTATTCAAAGTAATCACATAGCAGTTATCCAATTTCAGATCAAGATAAGCAGTTAGGATCTAGAAGTAGATTCAAGTACATTTAAAACACAAAATTTAAAAATACAGTAACATCATGTACCATCTTAAAACATAGGCTTAGCTTCAACAGGTATAAAATTTAACTCATTTAATTAGAACAAACTTAATGCTGTGACTACACCCTAAGAATAAAAACAAATCTCAAGAGTTACTTGAAATTCTTCACAGATAATCTCATCCAGAAGCATCAGAGTTCATATTTAAGATGCTGTTAAGCAATCTAGGTGCAAATCATTCTTCGCTAACAAAATTGGTTTGCATACATTTGAAAATGTGCATCTAAAAATCAAATTATCAAGATGTGTTTATCTAATGAGGCGAATTTTTAAGAACTTTGTTCGCAAGTCTTCCTGCTTATCATCTAACAAAGTTAAAAAGTAGTGGTCTGACATGACTTCTGCCTACACTGCCAGGATTTCAGACCACAGTTTGGCACACTGATCCCTCTACCACAAGGCTGGCTGAAGGTCCAAAATACACTGCTTCTATTATTCAACACAATTAAGCAACAAGATTCTGTATCCAGCTTGCTTCTGAATTGTATTTTCTACTTGACAATATATTTGGGGCGGCACGGTGGCTCAGCAGTTAGCAATGCAGCCTCACAGTACCAGGGACCCGGGCGACTGTGTGTACGGAATTTGCACATTCTCCGCGTGTCTGCGTGAGTTTCCTCCGGGTGCTCCGGTTTGCTCCCACAGTACAAAGATGTGCAGGCTAGGTGGGTTGGCCATGCTAAATTGCCCGTAGTGTTCAGGGGTGTGTGGGATGCTCAAAGGGTCGGTGTGGACTTGTTGGGCCGAAGGGCCTGTTTCTACACTGTAGGGATTCTATGATAAGACTGGATCACCGTTTAGAACAAATAATCTAACATTCAAATTGTCCAATTGAGTTCGGCAACAGGAATCTGATATGCATTGCATATGCTGTCTACATCACTATTTGGTTATTCTGTTCTACATCAGAAAACTATTATTACGAAAGTAAAGCACCATTCAGGAGAACACTGGACATTACCTATCCTTTGTATCCAAGGTGCAAGCTAATACTTAGTACCAAAATAATTTGTAGTTTTCAACTATTATTTCCATATTTCAATTATTGAAACACTCAATAGCAATTACATCCAAGGAGTTCATGAACCTAAGTTTTAAAAATATACAACTAGTTACACCTAATTTACCATATGGCACTGAACCAAAACATTAATTTATCTCCAGTCAAGGATCCAGTTGTTAACAGGCACAAATACTGAATTCAACTAAAATGATCAAGATATAGAACCAGTTTGCATGTAGATATGAAGTAACAGGGAAAAATAGTAACTGGTGGGACGAGGATTTAGCATCCATTCTCAACAATAGCTATACTCTGGGCAGAATATAAACGAAGAAATAACTGGGGTACGTAAGAACACTACTGCAATGATCGTTAGGACTTTAACCTTCATATAGATTGGACAAATCAAATCAAGATAGCCTCAAAAGGGTAAGCAATGAGAATTTGGCACAGTTTATTAGAACAATACTTTGTGGAACAAACTTGAGAACAGACTATGTTAGATCTGATAACATTGATTGGGATGGGTTATTTGATCTTATGCTAGCATATCCTCTAGGGAAAAGGGAGCATTTCACTTAGAACTTCAAACTCAGTTTAAGGATTAGAAACCTAGGTGCAAAAGTAAGAATAAAGGAAATTGCAAATGCTGAAGACAAGCTGGGCTGGGAATATAAATTAAGATGATTCCTAACTCAGTCATAATCAATTGATAAAGAAGGCTTTACAAAGAGGATGAACCTTCGGTGGCTAATTAAAGGAAATAAAGTTGAGAAAAGAAACAATGCTTTGAAGGCTAGCAGTTAAGACAATTTCAGAAACCAAAAGGATCACACAGAAAAAGGAGAAAATAGATTGAATTCAATGGCAAGAAATATACTGCTGTAAGAGTTTCCCAAAGTATATAAAAGTTGGTCCCTTAGCAGATAAGGCTGAGGAATTAAATGAAGGGAAAATGAAACAGCAGATTTTGAACAAATGCTTTGCATCAGTCTTCAGAAGACAAAATGAAACTCCCATTAATAGTAAAATACCAAGAGACAAGAGAGACAGCTTCAAACAATCACCACTTGAGAAAAAGTACCAAATAAAGTAATGGGCTGAAAAGGGCATGACAAGTTTCCTTGACCTAATGGCCTGCATGCTCGGGGTCTTAAAAGACATGGATGCAGTGGTTGTAATTTTCCAACCTTCGTAAATGCTGAAAGGGACGCAGAAGATTGTAAAACGGCATATATGTCATTTCTAGTCAACGGAAGAGATAAACAGTAGGCAAAAAAAACTGTAGAATTAGGCTAACATCTATCATTGGGAAATTGTTGGAATCTACTAGGAAGAAGCAAACCATTAAAAACCATAATATATTCAGTCAGGTAATTAAGTCACTTCTTTACTCCCAAATCCTGCCCACCATTTAGAACCAACAAGTCAGATGTGTGATGCAATCGTCTCTACTTGCTTGGATGAGTGGTGCTTCGAAACTATTCATTCAAGAAGCTTGACTGGATCTCATTTACTACCTTCACCACTTACTCCTTCCATCAATAACGGACAGAGGAAGCAGTGCGTACAAATTTACATAATGCACTGCAATAATTCACCAATGCTTCTTCGAATGACACCTTGCAAACCCGCCACCTCTAACACTGAGGGCAGCACATGCACAGAAACAGCATCATCCGCATGTTCCCGCTAAGCAACATTTGTTCTAAAACAGAAAATCTTGAAATTAAAGGACCATTTGGATTTTTACTGTATTCCTTCTTGGCTTGAGAATTTTCCTCACTTTCTAGTCACTCTTTTAGAATTACAATTTTAACATAAAACCTTACCAACTCAAAATCATGAATAATGACTGCTGGATCAGCATCATCAAATTCTGGAACTGGGACATCAATAAATGCCACATTCCCATCATTTCCCAAGAACTGCACATCCTCTGTAGCAAAAGAATAAGGAGCCTCTGTTTCAGGGTCATCTGATAGGATACGAGAATCCAAGTACTGCATGCGACCATGGAACACTTTGTTCTAATGGCAAATCAAAAGAGATCAGCTTAGTACAATATTATTACAGTAAAATTCCAAAACAAGACAATTGCAAGTGAGATATGAACATGGTGGCCAACTACGAAAATCACTGACAGCCTCTGATGGCTGACTATTTAGAAAGTCATTGGAAATGGAGAATAAAAATAAAAGCTCAGCTGGCAAAGAAAACGACACAGGCAAACCAGAGACCACTGAAGGATGCCACGTTCTTACTGCACTGTCTGTCTATCTCTGTAGCAAGTGTGATGATGACTGCCATGGTAGCATGTCACCCTGAGCCACAATGATCACCTTGGCATAAACCAATGTGTTATAAGATTTAGATAACAGGACAAGTCAGGTACATCTACATTTGAATTGACAAGCAATTCAATTTTCCTAGCTATGCTGAGACAAAATGTTAGACTGTTATTTCTGAAAACAAAGGGGTACAGCATTCAAAGAAGTTGAAGATATTATGGAGACCTTAAACTGAGGAGCAACCATGCACACATTTGTTGGCTAAAAACTTTAGAGAGATTCTAAATTCTAAGAGTTTCAAATATTGAGTAATTTGGTTGGATTTAACCATAAACTAATTCATACAACTTAAACCATCAATTCTTTGCTATTATTAATAATAGCCAAAACTAAAAACCCAGTAGAGATTAACATTTGTTAGTTTTCCATGCGCAGGTAATCTTATAATAAGGTTGTCAAATGAAATAATGAAAAGGTTGTTTTCTACAAAAGAACAAAAACAATTGTTATTGCTATGACCAGGCCAGGAGAAATGCACAGTCTCTCTAGTCCCATTACTCTACCGGTCATATCACCTATTTAAATGTTTTAATGAGTTACCAAACTAGCCAATTATACTGTCATGATAACCCTAGGATACTTATGGACATATAGAACTTTTAACACATTTTTAAAAAAGATGCATAACCAAAAATGACTGAGTGTGTACATACTGAACAATGTAATCCAGTGACTGTCTAGAAGCCTTCTGTGAATTACCTTCAACACCAGGGGAGACCCTGGAATTTCATACCTGATAGGTGTCAAGGATTTCAAAATCAGAAATGCACTGCAAACTCAACTATAATTTTCCGAGAGTCATCTTAGTCTGTGAGCATAATAGGAGTCACCGGACCCAAAATGTTAACTCTGTTTTTTCCTTCACAGATGCTGCTAGACCTGCTGAGCTTTTCCAGAAACTTTGTTTTTGTTCCTGATTTACAGCATCCGCAGTTCTTTCGGTTTTTACATATGACTTAGTGTCATTTAAAACTAAAATTTGTTTTTTTAAAACATAATACTTCAGAATTTCAAATAAACCAATTTTCACAATTCTTTAAAACATCAATAGTCAACAAAATTAATAATGAAAGAATCTTAACATTATTTAGATCAGATTTTGTACAAGATTTGTGCACCAGGGGAACATCTGCCAGAAGTATTTCATTAAGACCAATGCAGATCAGAAACAGTTTCTGTTCTCAATGACAGTTGCCATTCAAGATGACAACCTAGAGCAGTCTCTATGCACCTATGAGTGATTTGAGAGATGCTGTGGTGAATTTTCCTGTCCAGGAATACTAACTTCTGAAGCATTTGCTTAGGAACAAACTAACTATAACTGAAGAAGTGGGATGTATCCAAGACAGCAACATTAAGGTAAAATTAGCTGCACACTTAAAATATAAAACCTTGGCCAAGCAACAGCATATTTCACCTTGGCCTGCAAACCTTAATACGTGTGCAATGGGCCCACTGAAACCTACTGATCCCAACTCAACTTGTGCAGTTATACTATATATAAAGTATTAACGAGGTTATTTTCCTTTTCCAAATACTTAAAGCTTAACTATTCATTTACAACACAATGTAAATTGTCATATTAATCCGGAGTTACCCCTGATGACTTCAGAATAAAGCTGTTTTTGACTGGCAGTTGTGATGATTGCAGCTAGCTGTTGAGTAGTCAGCTGTTTACTGGTGTGTCACAGCAATTGTGATTATGTGCAAGTGCACATGACACTCCACCTAGTCGTGGCACAGAACACAACAAATTGCAGCCAATCAGAAAATGCAGGGAATACACTGCAAATCCTTTTCTTGCACTCATAAATAACCCTACATTAAAAGAGAATTACTGTAAACTTCCATCAGGTGAGTACGTCCAAAAACCTCCTAAAGTCTGAAGTATTTTACCCAGTATACACAATATCATACAAATATAAGGAAGAATGATGATGTGGTTAAACTTGAAAGGGTCAGAAAAGATTTACAAGGATGTTGCCAGGGTTGCAGGGTTTGAGCTATAGGAAGAGGCTAAATAGGCTGGGGCTATTTTCCCTGGAGTGTCGGAGGCTGAGGGGTGACAGTATAAAGGTTTATAAAATCATGAGGGACATGGATAGGGTGAAGAGTCATGGTCTTTTCCCCAGGGTAGGGGAGTCCAAAACTAGAGGGCATAGGAAAGATAAAAGGGGCCTAAAGGGCAATCTTTTCACGCAGGTGTAGAATGAACTGCCAGAGTAGTGGAGGCTGGTACAATTACATCATTTAAAAGGCATCTGGATAGATATATAAATATGAAGGATTTACAGGGATATGGGCCAAATGCTGGCAAATGCAACTAGATTAATTTAGGATATCTGGTCAGCACGGATGAGTTGGATCGAAGGGTCTGTTTTCGTACTGTTCATCTCTATAACTCTAATGAATTACCTTTGGCACAATGAATCGATACAGGCAAGCTCCTCCAATTATCAATCCAGATAGTATGAAAGCCAATCCAAGAAGAGTAAATAAACATCTTCCAGTGGAATTTTCTCTTCCAGACACTGCAGCAGCTTCTGGATCCTATACATACAAAAAGATTAAGTGTTGGCTGCAGAGTCACAAACACTAAGTTTTTACACAACATATATGATTCCACTTGCTACAACATCACCTAGTTTGAACAAGTTAAAATAATTCTGGAATCAAGCAGTTCTTAAAAATCAAATTAAGATTGTTGCAATCTACAGTCCAAATACTCAGCAAATGTTTAAAAATGAACATGGCCTAATATAAGTGCATTTCAGATTAAAAACCACCAGGTAGCAAAGTTGGTAGCAACTTTAAATGGAAGGTACTTCTACTCACAGCCAGACAGAGTTTACTTTACCATCACCTCAGGAACCATCCTCAAGAAAATGGACGGGAACTACATTAGCAGTAATCTATACTGATACATGCATTCTAGCACAGTGCCCTAATACTAATAACTGCTATACGAAAGTTTTTTAAATTACCATCTAGAAAATAAGTAAAGCACAATTTTCTCGTCCAAATAGCCTAGGGTCCACTTCCAGACAGGAAAAAAAACACAAACTGATAAATGTGAAGTTCCTCTGGATGAACAAGTCAAACATAAGGTTCTTATTAGACAGAACATTGCACGGGTGGAAAGGGCCAGGTAACAAAACAGTGGTGATATCAGTTTCTCTGCTTTTTCCATGTTCTTCACTATAAAATATTCCTATAACAGGACATTTGTCCTAACTGATTTTTTCCTTTGCATATACCTAAATAAACTAGATTCAGCCTTTATGTTCCATACCATCTTGCATTCACACTCTTTTTCCTTTTGCCATCAGTTTCTTGTTGCTCCTTTGCTGGGTTCTAAATTGCTTCCAGTCTTCAGGCTTACCACTTCTTCTGCTGTCCTTGGAGCTAATTCAAACCTATTTTGTTAGACACAGTTGACTCACCTTCCCCTTTAAGTGTTTGTCTCTTAGAGTGTGTATCTCACGTATGCAATTTTCCTTTAAATACTGGCCACTGTCTGTTGACCATCACGGCTTTTCATGTATTGTACTGTCCCAACCCAATGTACCAATCATACATTAGAGACAACAGTGTGGAGCTGGAGGAACACAGCAGGGCAGGCAGCATCAGAGGAGCAGGAAAGTTGACATTTCGGGTCGGGACCCTTCTTCAGAAAGGGTCCTCTGCTCCCCTGATACTGCAGGCCTGCTGTGTTCCTCCAGCACCATACCACGTTGACACAGACACCAGAATCTGCCAGAAGGGATAACAGCAAGGATATTGAAAATTCTTCTCTCCCTCGCTCCCAATTTTAGAAACTAGTACAATTGTAAAAAAACACTTGGAAAAACCAGCGTTCACTGAGAAGTTATCAGCCACTTTGGCACCCATGAGGAACAACAGCTGCATAACTGGGACTCAGTCTTCATTATCACAAAACCCCCCAAAAGCTGTATTCCCTGGGTTTGTGTGTATGCATTTGATGTTGCATTTTGTTATTTTTCTCATGTTTGAACGTGAGTAAAACTCTACTAGTTTTCACTCAAGAAAACCTTGGAATTGGCTTTCCTTCATTTATGATCTGGTCCACAAAGTTTAAATGAAGAGTAATAGCTACGTGCTGAAAACTGAAACAAAAAGTATTTATAACGACTGACAGACAGTGGGTTTAAAGAAAGGGGCACATCACCCCTCACCTGGTCATGACAAATGTATCTTTGCTTTTCTTGTGTTCTTTTAGTTTTAACTTCCCCTGATACACAGTTCTTAGGTGACATCATCAATCATCTTGTGTTTAGTCTTCCTCATTCTGGTATAAAACAGCTTGAAGTAGTTCTTGCATTTCTGCTGTTTGCTGAGAAACATTATTGAGTTGCTCTATCAACTGCCTCTGGCTGAACGCTGCTGCAAAATGAGAATCTGAAAAAAAAA